AGGAGGTGGCATCAAGGAAAGACGATATCGTGCCATTTCAGTGTGGAGATTTCCTTCTCCACTTGCTGATAGCAAAAGAAACTTGTGCGATGCAGATTTCCTCATGGAGAACGTCTGCAGAAAGGTTATGAACAGTTAGTATCTTACCTGTTGTAGGTAGCTCCTTGAACAACCATAGATTAGAGGAATAAAGTTTGATTCTGACCTGATCCGTGAGCTAACCATCAGTTTTGTTTCAAGGTAATTCCATGAGAAATACTGTGAAATTTCTTTCAGAAGTACAGAGGTTGCACCGGAAATGCTACAGCTAGCTGCTGCTGCTGCAGTTTACACTTTCAAATAGCCGCTTATTTTTGTGTAAATTTAAATATTTTGTGTAAATTGTGTGTTGTAAAGTGAAACCGATGGTAAGTGTTTAGAAAATAGGGTTCTCAAAAACCATTATAGCTTCTTTTTTTTTTTTTTTTTTGTCTTAAAGTTTGGAGCTATTTTAAGATGGCAGCAGCCAACTTAAGTCTCGCTAGGACTGTTAGCTCATGAGCCTGCTCAGAATTCATCTTTGTTTCTCCTTATTGAGTCTGTTCAAAGAGCTTTCTAAAACAGGTAAGATATTAACTGTTTATAACATGCTCACAGAACCTCACTTCAAAAGATATAAACTGTCACGTTAAGCCTGTAGATTTGGGTTCAAACGAAGAGCAACAGATTATTTATTACAGTGAATTTATTTTTATTTTTTTTGGTGGCGGGTTGTCTTTATTGTCGGTACAACAAAAAGTCTGAAGATTAAGTATAAGAACACGCAAAAATGTAATTGATTTTAAAACATTTTGCTGAATAAAACTGTTAAACTTGCACTTAAACATCATCCATCACTAATACTATTGCCATTGACTTTTTTTTTTACACCTAAATGCATGTAAGTCTTTTTACTGTTTAATTGTTAGTTTGTGAAAATATGACTTTTAAAAGAAAATGCACAACTAAATTAGATTCACAATAAATTTTCTTAAAGGTCACAAGTCAAAACTGGGATTTTAGTGTCTTCAGGGTGCACAATCTAGGACAATAATGGGGTACAAATGTCACTTTGCTTATCTTTTTTTCTTTTTAACCTTATCTGAAAGTAGTACATGTCCATATCTAAATTTAATGACTTACTGGTTGGTATTATTTCCCAGATCTATACTTTCACTTGTTAAAAGTGATTTTCAGTGTAAATGTTAAGGAACAGAGGGGAAATGTACACTTTAAAACTGATAATTGAATCTTTTTATATATTTATTACATCTACCAAAAATAATATATAAAAAAAACTGTATAATTAGTTAAATTTGTCTTTTTTTTTTTTCAGAATTTCCCAAGTGACCAGGTAATCCCAATTAACAGCTCCATTAAAACTGCTTTTACTCTGAGGCTTTTTAAATTATGTTTAAATCTATTTTCAATTTCAATGAATTATTATTTCCAGTTTCAGTTACATATACATGTGCTGGTCATAAAATTAGAATATCATGAAAAACGATTTATTTCAGTAATTCCATTCAAAAAGTAAAACTTGTATATTATATTTATTACACACAGACTGATATATTTTAAATGTTTATTTCTTTTAATGTTGATGGTTATAACTGACAACTAATGAAAACCCCAAATTCAGTATCTCAGAAAATTAGAATATTACTTAAAACCAACAAAAAAAAGATTTTTAGAAATGTTGGCCAACTGAAAAGTATGAACATGACAATTATGAGCATGTACAGCATGAATACTTAGTTGGGGCTCCTTTTGCCTGGATTACTGCAGTAATGCAGCATCACGCCACATTATAGTATGACTTAAAACTGTTCGTAAAACAGGAAGGAAGGCTTATTATCTCTCCTCTTACTACAATGAATGTGGTACTTTGCTATAAGTACGACTATATTTATGGCTTCAGAGAAAGCTGAGCTTGAGTTATCCACATAAAGTAAAATGTCATCAGCATGAAAAGAAGGAATGTTAAGTTTGAGATTAATCCAGTTTCTGATGTCTAACCAAAGACTTGTATTGACATGAAAAAAAAAATGCTCGAGGGATTCATCTTCTGATTTACAAAAGACACACAAATCAACATCAAATTTAAATCTTCTTTGCAGAAACATGGCTACAGGATATATCTTGTTTATTATTTTAAAATGATTTTCCTTCACATTTGACAAATTTAGAATGAGCAGAAGTCATTATGGTTTTATGATTTATATTGGGAGGTTTCTTGAAGGAATCTTTGTTATAATCAGTAAATCCTTTGTCACAAACATTCATTGATAATCTTATTGCATTTGAAGTCAACTAAGTTACAGTCATTTAGTTTTAATGTGGGCATCAAATCGTCACCTTTGAATATATAATATTTTAAATTCATTGAATCAGCTGTTGGTCAGGCCACTTCTTGTGCCATTAGCTCTAAAATAGATATTGAATCAAGTTTACTTGTGTAGGTAAAACTAGATGTTTAACAAACAGTTAAAATACACCGGAATGCAGGAAATGGCATTTACTTTTTTCAAAATTTTCAGTGACATATCACATCTTCCTCTTCGCAATACCACATAGATTTTCTATGGGGTTAAGGTCAGGCGAATTTACTGGCCAATTAAGAACAGGGATACCATGGTCCTTAAACCAGGTACTGGTAGCTTTGGCGGCAGCACGGTGGCGCAACTGGTAGAGCTGCTGCCTCTCAGCGAGCAGGTCCTTGGTTCAAACCCCGGTCCAGGGGGCTTTCTGGGTGGAGTTTTCATGTTCTCTCCATGCATGCATGGGTTTTCTCCGGGTGCTCCGGTTTCCTCCCACAGACCAAAAACATGCATGTTAGGCTGATTGGTAACTCTAAATTGTCCCTAGGTGTGAGTGAGAGAGTGAATGGTTGTTTGTCTTGTTTGTCTCTATGTGGCCCTGTGATGGGCTGGAGACCTGTCCAGGGTGTACCCCGCCCCTCGCTCTGTGATTGCTGGACATGGGCACCGGCGACCCCCCGTGACCCAAAATGGAAGAAGCGGGTAAAGATAATGGATGGATGGATGGACGGTAGCTTTGGCACTGTGTGCAGGTGCCAAGTCCTGTTGGAAAATGAAATCTGCATCTCCATAAAGTTGGTCAGCAGCAAGAAGCATGAAGTGCTCTAAAACTTCCTGGTACACGTCTGCGTTGACCTTGGACCTCGGAAAACACAGTGGACCAACACCAGCAGATGACATGGCACCCCAAACCATTACTGACTGTAGAAACTTGACTCTGGACCTCAAGCAACATGGACTCTGTGCCTCTCCTCTCTTCCTCCAGACTCTGGGACCTTGATTTACAAAAGAAATGCAAAATTTACTTTCATCAGAGAACACAACTTTGGACTACTCAGCAGCAGTCACAGGCGAGACGCTTCTGACGATGTCTCTTGCTCAAGAGTGGCTTGGCACAAGGAATGCGACAGCTGAAACCCATGACTTGCATAGGTCTTTGCGTGGTGGTTCTTGAAGCACTGACTCCAGCTGCAGTCCACTCTTTGTGAATCTCCCCCACATTTAGAATGGGTTTTGTTTCACAATCCTCTCCAGGGTGTGGTTATCCCTATTGCTTGTACACGTTTTTTTCTACCACATCTTTTCCTTCCCTTCACCCCTCTATTAATGTGCTTGGACACAGAGCTCTGTGAACAACCAGCCTCTTTAGCAAAGTCCTTTTGTGTCTTGCCCTCCTTGTGCAAGATGTCAGTGGCCGTCTTTTGGACAACTGTCAAGTCAGCAGTCTTCCCCATGATTGTGTAGCCTACAGAACTAGACTGAGACCATTTGCAGGTGTTTTGAGTTAATTAGCTGATTAGAGTGTGGCACCAGGTGTCTTCAATATTGAACATTTTCACAATCTTCTAATTTTCTGGGATACTGAATTTGGGGTTTCCGTTAGTTGTCAGTTATAATCATCAACATTAAAAGAAATAAACATGTGAAATATATCAGTCTGTGTGTAATAAATAAATATACAAGTTTCACTTTTTGAATGGAATTACTGAAATAAATCAACTTTTTCACGATATTCTAATTTTATGACCAGCACCTGTATATTAATTAATGCATGATATTAGGAGTTAGTGTTCATCCATCAGCTGTGACCTTGTCCATACTTTCAGGATACTGCACCACCTCTAACCAGCAGAGGGCGCTGTAGGTCTGTCCAATCTCCCTGATCTCGCTGTGAAACAACTGCAGTACTACTGAGCTACTGACTCCTTTAATTGCTTCCTTCCTGCTCTTAATTGGTGTCAATCTGTTTAACTTGAAGAAGGGAGCTTCGTTACTCGGACAGAGAAAAATACACCACAGTTTATTTGTGTGTGTGACCATAAAGCCACAAGCAGCTCTTATAATGTGGTTTTCAGCCAGTTCGTTTATGCAGACAGACCGAGGTAAGCGACTGCACCTGTGGGCTTTGCATTAATGCTGTTATCATGTCAGTAAGAATGTTTAATAAAACGAGCAAAAATTACTATTATTATTATTGCATCTATGGGAGATAAATGTTACTTGTGGATTAAATGTGCTGAGGATTCAAATTCATTGAATACTCACTTCTGCGGTGTAGTAGTAGATTAGGTACACCTATCCATACAGTACCACCTTACTATAACCCCTCCCACTTACACCGGGTAAATAGACCCTGGCGTATTACGAAAAATGCACCAAAAGAGGCAAAAAATAACCAAGTTAACACGTTTAGTTTAAGTGTTAAATTCATAGCAGTAAGTATAAAGTGCATAAGTGGTAATAAAAAAGGAATAAGTTTGGTTTGTGTCGTATTTTCAACGCGTCGTCTGTTACGCGGGAAAAGTCTTCGGCGGAAGGGCACGGAGCGAGTGCGGAGGGATCCAAAATGAGTAAGGGTAGTGATGCGGCTGGTTGGAGAGCTTATACTGTCAGTGTGACGGCGCTGGTGATAGACTGCGGTCTGCGCTTCCAGACGTGCTGCTGCAGCCTTCAAACCTGCACTCATGCTTCACGCAGCGTGACCCGGAGCCAACGACGCCTCCGTGGAAGGATTTAATGTCTTTACCGCCGTGGAATAACTTCCCTGCTTCCCTGTTTTGGCGCATTTTTTCTTCGCTTGTAGTTTTAGGGAGGAACGAAAATCTCCGAAGGTAAGCTAGGAGGTGCAGCTTTAAGCGTAAACGTGTTAGTTTGTTTGCGGAGTCGTAAAGGCGGGGGTTTCCCCCCACCCGGACCACCTCCCTTTCTTTTCTTTCTTTTTTTTTTAAATTTTTTTACCGTGTGTTCCCAGTTAGAGAGCACCTGCTGCAGCAGTCTGTGCATGCATGCTCGGCGTGCACACACACGGACGGTGTTTTGGACTGGCATGTGATCACGCTTTTCGCAGGATCCGTGCCAAGCAGCTGTCTGCGAACCCTTCCAGAAGCCTCTAATCAGTTTTATTTCTTCTTCTTCGCGCAGCTTCATAACCAGGAGAGGACCCCTGCAGACATCATGCCGCTGAATTCAGGTTTGGCGAGTAAGAACTATGACTACGACTACGACTCCCTGCAGCCGTATTTCTACTACGACACGGAGGAGGATGACTTCTACCCGCAGCAGCTGCAGCCTCCGGCTCCGAGTGAGGACATCTGGAAGAAATTCGAGCTGCTGCCGACCCCTCCCCTGTCCCCGAGCCGCCGGCCGTCCCTGTCCAGCCTCTTCCCCTCCACGGCCGACCAGCTGGAGATGGTCACAGAGTTCCTGGGCGACGACGTGATCAGCCAGAGCATCGTGTGCGACGCGGACCGCTCCGTCAGGTCCATCGTCCTCCAGGACTGCATGTGGAGCGGCTTCTCCGCCGCGGCCAAGCTCAAGAAGGTGGTGTCCGAGCGGCTGGCCTCCCTGCACGCCGCGCGCAAGGAAAGCGCGGCGGCCGGGGAGGGCGCCCTGGTGGACCCCGCGGGGAGGCTCAACAGCAGCTACCTGCAGGACCTGAACACGTCCGCGTCGGAGTGCATCGACCCGTCCGTGGTGTTCCCGTACCCGGTGGCGGAGACGCCCAAGCAGAGCGCGGGGATGCTGCAGAGGCAGGACGCAGAGCAGGACACGCCGCCCAACAGCGGCAGCAGCAGCAGCAGCAGTTGTAGTGACTCAGGTGAGCAGAACAGCACTCCTCGCACAGACACACCCCTCCAGGAGGGAGCAGACGCGCGTGACTTGGGAGTGCTTGAGGATGAATCTTGTATTCTGCAGTCAGGGTTAATTTGTGATTTTTTTTTTAAATTTTTTAAAAAAAATTTTTATTTAATTTATTTATTTTTTGTGTTGCAGAGGAGGATGAAGATGAAGAGGACCAGGAGGAGGAGGAGGAAGAAGATGATGATGATGAAGAGGAGGAGGAGGAGGAGATTGATGTAGTCACGGTGGAGAAAAGGCAGGCAGTGAAACGCCATGACCCCCCGCTGGAGACCAGGCACCCCAGTCCTCTGGTCCTGAAGAGGTGCCACGTCTCCACCCACCAACACAATTACGCAGCCCATCCATCCATGAGGCACGAGCAGCCGGCTGTCAAGAGGCTGAAACTGGAGAGCAGCAGTGGAGGAGGAGGAGGCAGCAACGCAAGCAGGGTCCTCAAACAGATCAGCAGCAACCGCAAATGTTTGAGCCCCCGGACGTCAGACACAGAGGATTACGACAAGAGAAGGACTCACAACGTGCTGGAGCGGCAGAGGAGGAACGAGCTGAAGCTGAGCTTCTTCGCCCTGCGGGACGAGATCCCCGAGGTGGCCAACAACGAGAAGGCGGCCAAAGTGGTGATCCTGAAGAAGGCGGCCGAGTGCATTTCCAGCATGCAGTGTGACGAGCAGAGACTTGTGTCGCTCAAGGAGCAGCTGAGGAGGAGAAGTGAACTGTTGAAGCAGAGACTGGCACAGCTGCAGAGCTGTCGTGCTTAAAGGATTTAAATTTTTTTTTTTTTTAATGCAAGTTCCAGATGTACAGTTGTTGCATGCAAAATGTTAAAATGTTTGGAATCTTTGATTTCCACGTGGAAACTGCCTCAGATGATGTTATGGGGGGATTAAAATATTTAAAAGTTTATTTTTATTAATAAAATGTTGGAAATGGGGCTGTCCTGTTGGGGGTGGCTCCAACTATAAATATACATTTTTATGTTTTGTATATAGTTAATATTTCCTAAGAAAATGTATTTTTTGATCTCAATTGTCTGGATTTTCAGACCCACTGTTTGTTTTATTGCATCGTTTCTGGATTTGTTTTTATTTTATTTTTTATTTGAAATATAAAAACCTTTTTCTTGACCTTTTTTTTGTCCTTTGTTTTCTTGAACAATTACTTCATTACATCAAGTACACAAGTACTCATTTTTAGTAAAGACGTGTATGTAAAATAAACTACAGTTCATAAACAGTATTTTAAATTAAGGCAATTTCTGATGCAAAGAAAGTGACAATTTAGTCTTAACTTTTTAATATTGCATCAAGTATTTAAACTACATTAATGTTAATGCAGGACATACATTTAAATATTTGACAAATCTGAAAACTACAGTTTAAAAATGTATTTCAAATCAATAAAGTAGACTTTTTAATAAAACCATAGCAGGTAATTGTTAAAACTACATCTGAGCTGACGTGCACGAGGAGCTGAGTGTTTTTTTTTAATAAGACGCACCTGGAAGTGAATCTGCGTTCACTCTAGCCTCGGTGTGACGTCACGCGCCGTATCCCTGCGCACACACCCTCCTGAGCGCGTGGGTCCTGGTCGCGAGCACATGGAAGTGAGCTCGAGGTCTGTGAGACGCGCGACTCCTCATCCTCATTACATTATTAATAATCTTAATAATTCAAGTGGATTTAAAGACAGAGGAGCAGCAGCCGGTAAGACTCAGCAGTAGATCTTTATTCTGACTGATTTTATGTCCATTTGTTTATTTGTCTTGTCATGAAAAACTTCCTCCGACACGCTTTAAGCAGCCGTGGAGGTGACAGACTCGCGTGGAGGTTGAATTTGCTGTGATTGTGTCTGAAACGATTGTTCTCCAGCTCACCGAGCTTCTCTCCATTGTCTGTCCAGCTCCTAATCCTGCAGTTTGCAGCTGAACGCTCGTGCACGTGCTGCTGCACTTTATTGTTGTTTCCGTGGACCTCACTCATCAGATTTATAATATCTGTTGTGGGTTTATGCTCATGTTGTGTTCGCTTTCTCCAAAGCCATGCTGCCTTCTTTGTCTCTGCTGCTCAGTGCACGTTTGTGATCAAAACAAAAGGGTGCACGTGCCTTCATGGGCATCCTTAAAGCTGCTCCTTTTGTTCTGTGGTGGTTAAAAACTACTAAAAAGATGGGATGAGGTGCACGAGAGGACCAGAAAATCTGAGTGTCTGCATCCACCTTGAAGTGTTGTTCAATGAAACACCAAATATATCTTTTGAAAATGTTTTTATTTAAAAAAAAAAGGAATTAAACTCAGCAGCACGGTATATTGTTTTCAAGTGAAAACGCACACAAGCTACATTTGCCTGCAAATGTACTTTTCTATTTTAGTAACTTTAGTCTTTTTAAACCACATTTTTGTGGCAGAACGTCCTGCTCGTTCAAGTTCAAGTTGTGTTTATTTGTCAAATGCAAGGTCATCACAGGTTTTAACAGTACAAAGAAATGCTTAGGATGAGAAGAACCATTTGACTCGCTAAAAAAATCAAAGAACAAACCAATAAGAAATACTAAAAGCATGCAATAAGGGTACACAAAACAAGTACCAAAAAGTGAAAAAGTAATTATAATAATTACCATGTCCTAAAGAGAGATTTTGAATAACAACATGGTAGAATCTAATGGTTCAGCAGGATACATTTGAATGAATAAGTATTTCAAGGTATTAATATAAGCTAAAATGCACATGATATATACTGCGCATAATCAGCATATACCACATGGGTTGTGTGACAGGTTATTGCACGTTATTATTAGTTAGTTATTGCCAATTGTTCAGTGTTATTTATCGAGAATTCAGTAATCTGACAGCTTCTGGATAATAGTTGTCCTTTAGTCTTTTTATACGCGATGGCAGACTCCTGTATCGTTTGCCTGAGACGGAAGAGTTCTTGTGCTGGGTGGGTGTGGTCCTTAATGATGCTACGTGCTTTACGCAGACATCGGCTGTGGTAGATGTCCTGGATGGTGTGGAGACTGCTACCAGTGATGTCCTCTGCTGTTTGCACCACCCTCTGTAGTGCTTTCGGGCTCTGACTGGTGCAGTTCCCGTACCACCCCGTAATGCAGCCTGTCAGCAGGCTCTCAATGGTGCACCTATAGAAGTTGGTGCGGATGCTGGTGTTTGTACCAAACTTCTTTAGTCTTCTTAGGAATTAGAGTCTTCGTCTGGCTTTCTTGACCACAGTGTCTGTTTGTAAAGTCCAGGACAAATCCTGAGTAATGTGAACACCGAGGAACTTGAAGCTGCCAACCTGCTCCACCTCAGTGTTGTTTATGTTGATGGTGGAGTGCCGGCCTCCACGTTGTTTCCTGAAGTCCACTATCATCTCCTTTGTTTTGCTGACATTTAGAGAGAGGTTATTTTCCTGACACCAGCTGGTCAGTGATTTCACCTCGTGTCTGTATGCACTTTCGTCGTCGTTGGTGATGAGGTCCAGGATGGTGGTGGCAGCAGCATACTTGAGGGTGACGTTAGAGCTGTGCTTGGTGGTACAGTCATGTGTAAATAGTGAGTACAATAGTGGACTTAGGACGCAGCCCTGAGGTGTACCGGTGCTGAGGACTAGTGTGGAGGAGAGGTGGCAGCCGTTTCTCACTGCCTGTGCTCTGTTGGTGAGGAAGTCCAGTGTCCAGCAGCAGATGGACTTCTCCAGGCCCAGTGTGGTGAGCTTGGAGACCAGCTTGGAGGGAATTATGGTGTTGAATGCTGAGCTGTAGTCAATGATGAAAAAGCATTTGTGACACAAATGCTGAGGTTTAGCCACCTTATGATCAAACTTTCCTTTAACCTGAAAATTTTTAACTTTGCGGCTACAATCAAGGTCTAAAAATTCTTCAATTTATGTTCATAACCTAACTGACAGTTGTTGTCAAAGAAATTTTTTTAAAGCCTTATTTGATGACAAACTTATACCTAAAACTTTTTTTTCCACTATCTTTGGCAGCACATAAATGCTTCCTGCTGTGTGTTCAGTGCTCTTTATAGTTAGAAACCAGATTAATTTCCCTCAAAAGGTTTTCAATTAGACTAAAGCATCATCAACATGGGAACGGTGTTATCATTTTGTCAAGTATTTATCATTACAGCTCTACGTTCATGTTAGAGTTATCTTACTCTTTGAGACCCCTGGTCTTGTCTGCTCAGAGACGGACCAGTTATGGCCCGGTTCTGTACAGATGAGCCGGGCTCAGCTGCTCTGAGTGAGCTTCCCAGGGTCAACACCCGATTAGGAGTACTTTTTTATTTTGCTGGCTTCTATCACGTAGATAGATTTGCACTTTCACCCATGTTTCACCATCAGAAACAGATAAGACCAATGACATCACACAGTCACTCCACTGATACGCTCTGATAGGCTGTGCTCCCGGATGTGAAGGCGGAGCCAAGGGCCAATATAAGTTGCGGTGTTCTGTGACGCTTCCGCTTCCACTTCTGGGTTAAGACGAGTTGGACGGACGCCTCAGCGCTGAACCTGAAAATTGGTTAACAGAAATTATATCTTTTGATTTATTTGAGGTAGAGTGAGTTTCCTCTCCATCTGGGGATAAAAGAACTAGACACCGGAGGTGGGGAGTCGGACCGGTTTCAGGGACGGACCCGGTCCAGATTCTCACATTCGCATGAAAACAGTGTTTTAGGAATCCAGAAAGTGGAATTTTTACTTTTTTTGGTAAACTGGTTTCAAAGTGGAAAGAACCCCACCTTGAAACCCTAGCCTCGGGTTTTCATGTAGACAAAAAAAACACAATTTTTTGAAAACAATGGCATCATAGCCAAACTTCTAATCTAGCCAATGACACAAACGTGTGATTTCTCAAAAATGTCAGATTCTTTGCTGTTGTGCTGCAAAACCAGTTTGCTCAACTTGAGCAAAACCTTCATAAAGTGTAAAACTTCAATGATCAGACGGAGCTAATGATCAATAACACAACTCGACTCACAATGAAGAGATGGAAAAAGGAGAAAAATCTTAATTTCTTGTTTGTACCCAGAGTGCAAGCTTTGTGCTCATGCTCCACGCCTCGCTTCCTGTTGTCTGTGTATTTTCGTGGCAGTGTTACGGCGCCACGTACAGGTTGGGTACAATAACTACAGTGTTTCAGGTCATATTTGGGGCTTTGTGTGGATGAAAAGATTTCTAGAAACAGCGGTGTGTTTATAAGTCTCTACTTCTGAAATGACAAGGAACAGATAATTTTTCAAAACGCGTTTCCGTGTGGACAAGGCACAAAACTGTCTTTTTATTTGTGATGTTGGATGCCAGGCCACTTCACAACAAACCCTATGCTTTGCCTACAGGAGCTTCTTTTAGCTCAAATTGTCTGTAATTTATTAACGTTTGTAATTTATTTGAATAATATCAGTGCCAAAAGGAAACAAAGAAGTCCCAAATTATAGAATTCTGTTGTCCAATTTTTTGTACTTTTTTTTTAAACACTGTACTTAGAAACAGTATTCTGATGGTTTCCTCTGTTTTTGATGTCCTAGAAAGTCTTTAGCTTTCGTTTATCACCTTTCATTAACAATATGACCTAGTCTGGGATAATTATCTTCAGACAAATATGTTGAGGCTAGTTTTAGTTATTAATCTGTCAAAATGTTTGTTTCCTGAGTTCCAGCTGTTCCAAATTCTGGAAACAATTGCTGCATCGGAAATGGATTAAAAACCTTTTATATGGAACAGTGGATTTCACCCAGATGGCCTAAAAAGTGCCGTTAAACAGATCTTTCGTTAATTTTATAAAACAAAAAGAGGCTTAGCTCGGCAACTACGTAAATGTAGCACAACTGTTACATCATGAAAAGAACAAAATCTGGCTTAAACTGAAAACTGTTTAAGTCATTAAGTTATTCAGAAACCATCCATCTTGTACTGCTTATCTGTAGTCGGGTCGCAAAGGCAACAGGTCCATGAGAAAAATCCAGGCGGCCCTCTCCTAGCAACTCTCCCCAGCTCTTTCTGGAGGGTCACAATTTGCAGGCCGGAGTGAGTACATAATCCCTCCAGTTAGGAATGCGC